GTATTCGCATGGATTCATGGCAGTTTCGCGCCAGGATCCACGCTTTGCCATGAATCCATGCGAAACACGGTCGCGGGGGCCAGTTTCGAGGGGAATATCTCAGCCATTACAGCACTACCTGAGCTGCCGCTTGGGCAGTGCCTTAGTTAGGGCCCCAAAAGTACTTTCCAAGTAAAAGCCCCATAGGTCCAGATTTGCCTGGACGCTGCCTTTAACAGAAGAGAAGACCCCGCCCACTCGCTGATTTCCCTCTTGCGTTGGAGCCCTTTTTCGCCGTTTTCGCCTCTCCAGTGTGGATTTTTGGATTCAGCATAGTGAATAGGCCCGGTAAGCACAAAATCAAAATCGAGTTTTTGCCCGAACACTGCCTTCAAGATAATCACAAATCTCATGAATTGAACAGACTGATTGCAGTCGCCTTAGATGATTCTTTCTTGCTGAAAATGGATGGGTCCTATTGTGCTGTCGTCAAGTAACGTCTATTGCTACAATCGTTTGACTTAGGGAACGGCCATAGGTTGTCGGTGTTGTCAGTGTTGTCGGTGTTCGGGGTTGCCGGTCGTTGTAGGACCTCATGATAGCCTCCACGTTTCGCGCGCTCTCTAAACTGTCTCTGACCCCGACAACACCGACAACATCGACAACACCGACAACACCGACAACCTATGGCCGTTTCCTTACATTGCATACAGACTTCAGTTTGCTGTACATAGCGTTGAAGCTGCACTTTTTGTTTTCGGGTTTGTCTTTCCCATCTCCTGTCTTTCTCATTTGTGTGACGACGTCCTTTGCCGCGTTGTCTGAAGTCCTTTTTTCGGAGCCCTGCGGTGCATGAAGTTAGTTACAACCTTTTGTTGCATTTTTGTTCTCCAAACTATTTCTTTGCGCTGTTGTTATCGACTGTGCATCTTCCCTATGCTTCATTTGTTCTCAGCACCTCGGCGTTCTTTCGTTCGTGTCTGCGCTTTGGCACGGTCCCATTCCATCGCAGACATGCCCCTATTCGGTCTCGAATCGCTTCAGCTGTGCCCGCAAGAGGCACTTGCGATTCTGCGCGTTTGCCCTGTCCCCAAGACGTACTTGCGCAGAACTATATAACACTATGGAGCCAGTGTGCCCTTCTGTTTTCCCTCCCCATACGCGCAATCCTCTCTCTCTCCCTGAGCCTATTTTCAAAGTACAAATAGGCAGAACGAAGGGATCCCTCCGTCTCTGCCTCGCACTAAAAGCTGATGAGAATCGAATTTTCTGTTCTTGCTTTTACTCTTCGTTCAAAACATAGTCGTCCGTTTAGTTTTTGAGAAGCATTTTGGGTATTTTGACAGTTCTCGCTAGTGGATATACGATTATTTACTTCAAAAAAAAAAAGAAACGATTATCAACTTCAAAATGTTGTCGTAGTGTAAATATAAAATGTAATTTAATTCCGGCAGGTTTTTATCTTCCAGTTTATCTCCTACACATGCGGGAATAAATAGCTTTGGTTCGTGCTTGCCTGGACATGGATCTGTTTACTTTTGAAGGTTTGGCTACAGCTTGCTGAAGTCGTGATTTTCTCTCTTGAATTTTGTATTTATTTTGGTTTGATTATTGGTGAGTTTATCGGATTCGAGCCGTGTATGGTTTAGACTCCTCATTTGCGCTTTTTGCGCAACTTCCTTTTTTTTACCAGTGAGGTATGATTTCATTGACATTTTAACCACCTTTTCACTGTTTTCTCACACGTGACTGATTTTGTGTAATCAAACTATTTGCATAACTCTACAGCTTCTCTCACATGGTCTTACGGCACAATTTCCTAGATTTTGTCTAGAACTACTAGTGCACTGTGTGTTTGCCACCTCTCAACCAATGCGATCATTCTTTGTAGTCAGCTGGTTGTGGAACGTTCGTGTAATTAGGTTTCTTCTCAGTCGTGTAAGACGTGAAGAGCACTGCCTCTTCAGCGCTTTCTTATCTGTATGAATATTTTTGCGTTGTTTTTTTTTGCGCATTCTCGCTTATTAATCACTCATGAACGCGTAGTAACGTAATCTGCCCGAAATGACCTCCGTGACCATGGCGGGATAACCTTGACTGGGCATCTATTCAAACCTGTTCAACCTACGTTCAAGTATGCAAAGTCTGCATACTGTTGGGTTTCCACCATAAGGATCTTATTCTGCTTCTTTTTTTTGGGAAAGTATTAGTGTTTGGCGGAACCGTTCAATCACATGAGGAATGCAGGGTTACCATTACCATTTTCTCATGGTACACCCTCGCCCCGAATCGGTTCCATTCTTCAGAAATCCTATGCAGCTGTCTGATTGCTATTTTGCATAGTGCATCTCATGACGACTACGCGACCTTGCGCTATATCGCTAAGGACCCCATGCATAATCGCTCCGGACCGCCTCCTTTCGACGGGCACGGCCTTTTGTTTGCAGGAGTCTCTGTTGTAAATAGGAACGTGTAATCGAATCTACGAACGGGTGTTCGGATTTTGTGCCAACCGTGCTCGCTTGGTCTATCATCAGTTTTCAAATCGCTCTCTAATAGTTAAAAAAAAACCCTTGTTAGTCATTGTTCGAACTGATATGTTAGTGTATCTTACTCTTGATTTTCAATAGTCACTTTTACAAACAAACATTATTACACTGATTTTGAACTTTGTTGGACTGTAAGTTCCCGATTACATGTTTCTACGGGATATTTCAATCATTTGATGTTTCCCGATTTATGTAGTCGAATTAAAGACCCACAAACTCAACACATGCTTTCTGGGTACTTGAGTGTCCATAGCATCAAAAAGTATGTATCACTCCAAATAGGCTGTGGTGCAAAGCATTCTGTCAAAATCTGTCACATACACCTGTATGATTTATGACGCTTTATTCCCGTAAATCTGCATCAAACGCTTGTTTCCTTCTATTCTTATTTCTCGCTTGTGAAAATAAATCATGATACATGTTAGTCTGAAAGTTTTTGGTTTTTTGGTTTTACTCCGTGATCATGTTTGAAATCAATTGAAGGCAATTTTCCACCAGTAAATTTTCTTGCAAAGTTTCCGTTGGTTTTTTCGCGATGCAAGAATTTTTCCATAAAGTGCTTGCTATTTTGTATGATTAATTTCTTCGTTGCCGTCTTTCGCACACATGTCGTGAGCAATTCGTCAACTTTATCGTCGGCGCTCATTTCACTCCGTGTTTAGTGTCATTAGAGTGTCTCCTGGCTTGCTTTTCACTTCATAGTGTAGGCAACTTTGTGTAGACATCTTATATTTGTTGGCGTAAACAACTAGTTGGAAGTAAGTGTCACTGATGGTTTCTTGCAGTGATATCTTGACTTTTTTCTAGAACAAATGTGTTCCAGGTAACCCCTTAGTCCGAAAGTCCAGGTTGATGATAACTAAGCTAAGTTATCTGTTCTCTGGCCTTTTCGTCCTTCTTTCTTTTCATCTGATCTTGCGTTCGGCTGCATCCTTATAAGGAATGTGCTCCAATCCCTTGACCTCTTTGAATAGAGTTTGTGGATTTATAGCTTTACCAGGCAATTCCATTGAAAAATTACTTGAATTACCACGCTCACCCACTTCTACCCAATATTGTTTATTTTGCTTTCTTTCACGCGTGTCCATGACGTCTACGAATCTTGCCTTGGTAATATTTGATTGCTTCGGAAGCACTTTGTTATAGATCAGTGTCAAGTCTCCTGTACAGCTTCTCATTTCCTCCGTTCTGTGTATATTTGATAAATGTTTTATATTCCCGCACATCATGCCGTTCCTCACACTGTGTACGAATTTTGTTTGATTTAGCACCGCTAGTGCACCAACTGGATATCCGCATTTGCCTACCCTCCTCGGTTGTATACTGTTGATATAGTATAGTTGTGGAGTTGCTTTTTGACTCAGGAGATTTGGAGCTTCCTGGAAAGGGGAGATCTCTCATAGAGGCAGGCCGTTCTGCAACTAAGAGTCAATATTTTTGAATGTGCGAACAGTTTTGATCATGTAAAACGACAGCATTTATTTTTGGCTTTCTGCATCTGAAACTGATTCGCCTTCTCTTGCTCCTTTACTTATAATTTATGTATGGTTTTTTGAAGGTTGTGGTTGAAGCGTGAAAATGTTTTTCCCCTCGTTTTTTGAATTCAGGGGCCTGATAGCCGATGTCGGTAGCACTTTTTATGTGAGGAATTTTGTGTTTTATGAGACTTGGAAGGCGCGAGATCTGGAGCGCGGTGTTTGGTTCAAATTCTGCAATGCAAAAACTGCGAGACTTGAAAGGGCATTTCTCAGTGTGTACGTGATTGAGAGTTAAGAGCATCATTATATTGTTGTGCACTTCCTCTTTGTGTATGTTCGCCCGTTTTCAAGAGTCGCTTCGACTTTCAACGCCCGTCCACTACATGTTACGTGAGAAAAAATGAGGACTCCACTTCCGTCGATTTCTCCGAGGCCTCACTTTTCATAATACTCTCATGAGCGCTTTCTTTTTTTTCCAAATGCAATTCATTTTCTCTACTTTTCTTCCATCACTTTGCTTTTATCTTCGACGCTTTTTGCCTTTAGAGGTAGTTTTGTTCATTTCATCGCTGAGCAGTCGCTAGAGACTTGGTATGCGATTCTTCGTACATTTGCTCTTTTTAGAAGCAGACTATTACACGTTACTGCAGACGATTCTATTATACATTACCACATACTTACGAACTAAAATCCCAGAATGTCAACGAAACCTCATGTTTGTTGCGAAGTATGTACCATACGGTACCTTTTTTTTCCATCCGTGTTTGTTCTCGTGCAGATCGAATGATTTTTCAACTTTTTTCAACTCTCCCGCTAATGTTGGTTGTATTTCATTCGTTGATCGATCATTTGGATTGCCTAGCTTTTTTTCAATCCTGAATTGCAGCGAATTGGCTTTGTCGTGACGCGCACTCGTCTCTCCCTCATTGCTAACCGTAATTGTCTCGTGTGCATTTTTCACATCTGTGGATTCACCGTATGCAACGGACAAATGATTCATCTGCTTCCAGATCGAACGCCATCGCAGTGTGCGTGTTAGTATTATTATCTGAACTCTAAATATTCTATAAATGGTGCGGCTACAACAATCCTATTCGCCGCATTCGGGTATGCTACCCGAGCGCGCTGCACATTTTGCCGTAGGACATCCGGCCGAATGTAGAGATGGATCTCGCGAGCGTGAAGCTAATAGTGGACCATCACTGTTCCAGCCGGGTGATCGCATCATGGATGAATACTCAAAAGAAGAGTTTCATGTGGATCAGTACCTTGGAAAGGTAATATTTGATTTTGTCTGGTTCTTATTGAAATAATTATTTTCTCATTTGACTATTGAAGTTAAATTTGGTGCAGAGCTTAAAATCATCTGAATTCATGTTCGCTGAGCTTCAGCCTTTATTCTTGTCTTGCTCGAAGCATGAATCAACTATAAACTGAATCATATGCATGTAAATGGAGGTCAAGGACAACTAGCTTTCTCTAATTTCTGCCCGAAAACATTTCTTGGTGAAATAAATCCTCTTATGCGAATCCATAATTAGTAGTTTAAGTGAAGCCACATCGATACGGATAGCGTCTCTCGAGTCACTTCAGTGCTTATGACATTTGCATAGTGAACGGATGACGGTCCGAGTCGGAACTGTCATTGAGGTTTATCCTCACAGTGTTTGCAGCCCATAGGTGCGATGGGGTGATCGGGGTCCTTCGAAAGTGAAGGGTGTCCCAGCTGATTTTGACCCCCAAAAGTGAAGGGTGTCGGAAATGTTTCGGCGTCGACCGGAGGGGGGGGGGTTGAAAAAATGGTGAAAATTATAAAATTATCCAGTTTAAATGGTCAAATTCTCTAAATTGGATTTGTATGAAATATAATTAGTGAAATGTTTATAAGTAATTTGTTTTGAATTTATATAAATATTATCTCATTTTCATACACCATTTTTCGGTGAGAAGATGCATGTTTAGGTGGGTGGAACGTGTAATGTGTAAATGTGATTTCGACCGAAAATTACAGTGGACAATGGCAGATACTCGAGTCTTGGAAGGTGCTGAATGAAGTTTTACCTGGAACGTACAAATGTGGATAATGTTAATAAGAGACTCCGCGATGATTAGGAATTATCGTTGCAAATAAATCCGTAAGTCGGTATCTGTGGAATACAATAAAGAAAATTTGTTGCTCAATTGTGTCCACTTGAAGCAGAGTAAACATACACAGTGTAGCACAGTGATAAGACTAGTATAACTGATGTCAGGAGAAATTCCTAGGGCAGTAAAGTCGAAGCTACGATGTTGACGATAATCAAGCAAGGTCACTTTTTCTAACTTGTGTAACTTGCAGATCACTCTCCAGTATAACTCTTGTATAAATGGGCTAAAGCCAATTTCGATCTAGATTCGGATTCTGGCCTTTAAAAGCTATACAACGATATATAATTTGTGAGGTGCAATATCTTTGCCAGGTGAGATAGTTTCCAGAGGTCCAAAGGTACCCCCCCCCTCCACGTCAGAGCCCCATATCTCCACGGTGGGGGCATTTCATGATTTAATTTTTTTTGCATCTTCAAGAGGGAGGTCCATTTAGTATTACCTATACCCTCGCAAAGAGATTCCACGGGAGCGACTGACTTAAATTCCAAATTTACCTGTGTTTTTCAAGCGCCTTTTATTCCTTGCTGTAACTCTCCTTCAGTATATCCGATCTTTCTGCGAGGGTATAGGTAAGACTCAGTAAACCTCCCTCTGTAAGACGCAAAAAAAACTGAAGCACGAAATGCCCCCATCGCCGAGATATGAAGCTGCAAAAAAACCCATCAAAAATCGATTTTTTTAATATAACTCTTATATAAGTAATTAAATCAAAACGGGAATAGTGTAGGAAGATTCGTCTCGTCAAGAGCTTTCGAATGATATATAACATGTGGGGGTTTACTGCTTCCGGGTCGCGGGAAGGGGGGGTGATCGGTCTCAGTTCAGGGCGATCACCTGGCGGCGCCTCTCCAATGCATTAAGGTGGCGGGGGGTGATCGCCCTCAACTGAGACCGATCACCCCCCCTTCCCGCGACCCGGAAGCAGTAAACCTCCACATGCTATATATCATTCGAGAGCTCTTGTTGAGTACAATCTACATATACCCTTCCCATTCAATTTCATTCACATACAAACAAGTTATTTGCAAAAAATCGATTTTTGGAGGTGTGATTTTTGCTCTATTTGCGACTTTATAACTCTAAGAGGAATACTTCTTAGGATCTACTTTTTTTTCGATGTGATAGAGGAAAGGTTCCTTATTAACGCCTATACTCTCGCAAGATCAAATTCTGCAACTTACTCAAGTTAAACTTACTCAAAAACTGACTTTTCTCAAATTTGGCCAACATTGTGACTGCAACTATACTGCCCTAAATATTTCTCCTGACATCATTTCTACTAATTTTATCATTGTTCTAGGCTCTATATCTTTATCTACATTAAGCGAACACAAATGAACACCATTTTTTTTTATTGTACTACATAAATATCGACATAAAATTTTATTTGCAAAAAAAATAAAACATGATCAATGCAAGGTCTTTTATTAACATATTCCACATCAATATTCTCCAGGTAAATCTGTCGTCCATCAGCACCTTTCAGGCCTCCAAAGTAACTGCCATTGTCCGCTGCCCATGTTATTGTCGGTGGAGATCATTTTTATAAGATCTGCGTTCGATCCTTCTGAAAATGCACTTGTTCATTGATATTTTTGTAATTGTGCAGAAATTCCTCACCTTCAAAAAAAATTTCGTCCGTCAGGTGAAGGGGGGGGGGGTGGTCCGACCTCCAAAGTGAAGGGGGGGTGAACTTTTGCTCACCCCATCGCACCTATGTTGCAGCCGGGTTTACGCGCACAAGATCGCTCGCAACTAGCACTAATCGTGGGGACAAAGCTGTGCTAGGTACACTAGTGAAACTAACAGCTACGAGGTAATGGTGAGAGATGATTGGTTGAAAAACTGGCACGATTGCTTGATGAATAGCTTATCACGGCAGAGAGTAATACGTGGTAATCGTGGTGGTTGTCAAATGCCGCTTATTGAAATGCGAGGATCAAAAGTGAAGAAAGTTGCAGGAATGTTCGAAAAGAAATTAGTGTTTTGTATCTTTTTATTTTCGGTTTTCTTTGCTTTCTGTTTTATGCAGTTAATGTATTTGATATGCGCTTAATAAAGCGTACTTTAGTCAGTAAGTACAGGCACTGTTGAATTACTTCTGGTCAGTCATCGAGACTTTTTGGCTGTTTTATTTTCGTGATAAAGAGTGAAATGTTCTCTTCAGTAATTGTGTCTATGCCCCTTGTCTTTTCAAAGTGAAACGTAATGGGACAAGGCTTCCTGTAACAAAAGTTCACTTTAGTCTCTCTCTCATTTAGAATGATATATGATACGAAGAAAGCAGTGGCAGTATAACTACAATACTGTTTTCGCTTGGAGTAATCTCTCTTTTCCTTCTTCTGATGCTTGAGTCAGAGCTCAGTTTTGCGACTTTTGATGCCACAGCAGACTGAAAGTATTTGTGTACTTCTATATCAACTGCATATGGCTGGCTTGCCGAAAGTTGATATTAACGTAGACCAACCAACCAATCCATTTGTACTTTTCTGAGCGAGAGGTAAAGGACGTCGTTTGTTCGTCACACAGTGATGCATCTGCTCAATGGTGTACTATCTCGAGAGGGTCATAATTTCTGAAGAAATTTGGTTTCAGGGTGGATTCGCAGAATGCTTTGCTGTGAGATCGAATCGCTATCGCGGTCAATTCGCTTTGAAAGTGGTTGAGAAAGCGAAACTCAAAGATCCATCATACTCGAAGATGCATAGGGAGATAAATTTGCATAGGTAGGTTCATTTTTTCATAGGTACTACATAATCCCGCTCACTTGATGAGTTATTTTTTGTGAGCAGTTATAAAACAGTCTCATCACTGCTGTACTGGACGTGTCTAACACACTTTTATACTTTTAATGCCACGTTTTATTTGTTTTTATATTTTTATCACGTTTTCTCTTAAGTGTGATTCGCGTTGAGAAAAACCTACATAATGTAGATGTCTTGACATCGCAGTACTCTGGAATATGCACGAATTCTAATATTTCTTTTTGCCAGTTCACTCTTTAGTTTGAGTGCAAGTTCTTTTGTAGAGAACTTCAACACACTTGTTTTTGCTGATATCTACAGATATCTTTGTGTCAATAACAGCTTTTTTAGGTCGGTATCCCATCCGAATATTGTGCGATTACGTGGCAGTTTCCAAGATCGCCACTACTTTTTTCTCGTTATGGAACTATGTCAAGAACAGACACTTCTCACACTGATAAATCAGAGTAAGCGTAAGTTTTGATTATCTTGCAATGGATTTTTTCTCGTTTTCTGCAGCACCTTGTAAATTCTCAAGTGGTAGCCTCACAGTGCTGCGTTGTGCAGCGTGGTACCGCGCAAGACGTACAATACTTCTATGTTTGTGCGTTTTGGTGGTAGATTTTCTAGTGTTCTTCTACGTGATCATTTGTCGATTTACTGTTCGTACTGTTTACTCAACAAATCTTTTATTGCTGACTTGTGGACGGAATGAACAATGATGGGGACCATCTCTTCCTTTTTTTTCTTGAATTCGCACCTCTTTTTTTTTGATTTTGCAGTATGGGCAGAAAGAAGAGGTCGCGTGCTATAATTCCTCCTGTTGCAATAAACGCTGCAGGACTTCTCGGCAGTATATACAAAGTTTTTGTGCGGTTCGTACCAGTTACAAGTTTCCTTAGAAACATCCTAGTGCCAGAAAGTACAATGCGCCGTGATTGATTTTCCTGAAAATGTGTGACTGCTGAAAACTAAATGGACGTGGAACGTACTTGTTTTGAAAGGCATTAAGTTGCCGCTGATGAGTTTCAAGAATTGTTGGGGGTCACAAGATTTAGCAGCGAATTCTTATCAAGCTAAAATCACATCAAAGAGGTGCAGTAGCACAATTGTCTGCCTTATCTTCGTCGTATCATCATAGGCAGATAAAATAACTGATCCAGTAGACTACACCAAAGGGCGAGATCAGAAACAATGCGATCGCTAATTTTTGGATTCCACAAATTTTTGTATAGCAGTCGTTCGACGATCCACACGTAAACTTAGTATAGTCTAAGTAGTATAGATTTTGATTTTATTATTATTTTGAGTAGTGATTTTATAGTATAAAATCAAGCTATAATTCTAATCACGTGTTCATGTTCTTGCAAGCTGTGTTTCCCCCACTTTTCGTCGGCTAATGTTGAATGAAACTGGTTTCCGCAGAAACTACCTCATTCATGTGGCTGAGAATATTTGTAAAAAATAGACTGATTTGGCATCATGCATCTCACTTTTTCGGGAGCGGATATGAGTGAAGGACTGGTTGTTTTCGTCGGGTATTGCGCTGAATGTCATTAAACTAGCCTTCACTCTACCATGATCTGTTATTCCCAACCGGCTGCAAGCCTGGTTTGGTTTTCTTTTTTTTCTATGTATCTGTACCGGTTTTCTTGTCATCAAGGTTTCAAATTCTCAGGTATTCTCTTCATAGCTCGAAACCTTACAGTCTTTGCAAATGGTTCAAATGTTCGAGGTCATATTTACCGTTGATGAGGCAGTTACTGTCAGCGTCGATCACTGCGTTCCTTGTGCTAGAATTATTCCATAGGTTAGGCGGCAGTCAGTTTTTATGCGGGTACTAACTGACACCAACACAACCTGATTATGTTCTCAAATCATTGCCTTTATGCTCTGATTTTTCACATTCTGTTAAAACTGCACGCTGAACGCAGAACATTAATGCGCATATGAGGTAATTGCTATGTAACAGGGAATGGAAGATTTCACTTGCAGGTGGTTATCTGTCCGAATATGAGAGCAAAGGTTATATGGTCGGCATATTATCGGCTGTCAGATATCTTCTAGATAGAAATATACTTCACAGAGATCTCAAACCAGGCAATATTCTTATAGGTTTGTATCACTCATTGTCTTTCCATCACATCTATCAGCTGCGAAGTTCTTTTTAGGAACGGATGGGAACGTGAAATTAGCGGATTTTGGCCTTGCCATTTTGAAACAGGATCTAAATCCAATGAGTGTCAGTGGAACTCCGAATTATCTTGCTCCGGAGGTTAGTGTTGCTGCTTTAGATTTTCGTCTTATATGCTCTGACTTATTTTGTAATGAGTTCCGATTTTAATCGTATGGAGTATTCGTTGTAGATTCTGATGAAGCGGGGCCACTCTGAATGCAGCGAAGTTTGGTCGCTAGGATGCATGCTCTACTGCATGCTCATCGGCAGACCACCATTCGAATCAGAAAGTCTTGACGAGACTTATGCGAGAATCCAGGCGGGTCAGTATTCTTATCCCCCTTGGTCCAAGATTTCTGACGAGGCAAGGGATCTGATCAACGCGTAAGTTCTTTTAATTGAGTAGGAGTCGTTTTTCAGTTAGAAGTAGTTTGTTCAGCTGTCTTATACACTCTGCGAACTTCCGCCCAACTGTACGAGAAATGCAAGAAGATCCATGGATGAAAATGAGCCATCCTGTACCTGACAGCATGTTGTCGAGGTAAAAAAAAGTTTCTTGCTTCGTATCTATTGAAGCATCTCTCTGTGTTGATTTTTAGGACAAAGAGTCTAAAAGAACTTTCGTCGAAAGCTGATGCTAATGGCAATGTTGTTGTGAATGCAAAACAACCTCATCGACCTAAATCTACCCTTGATCTTGCTTCGGCTGGAGCAGCACTTAATAGGGTAAGAAAAAGCTTCTCCGTTATTCATCTTGAGTCTATATATTCCAGTCACGACGCAAGTCCATAGCAAGCGAGCATGACTCGGGATTCGGCTCCGATCCAGATATGTCTCGACGACCTGCTTTAGCAGCGACTGTTAATGGTTATCTCAACGATATTGGCGCACTTCTAGGTAGCCTGGATTCTATTTGTCCACTTTTTCTTCCCAAATGCTCCATTTTCTAGGTGGGGCGTGTGATTTTGCACTGGAGCCATGCCCACTACCACCTGTGTTCGTCTCAAAATGGGTTGATTACACAAATCGTAGAGGATTTGGCTGTCAGTTCAGTGATGGCTCTGTTTCGGTGAAGTTTAACGAAGGACTATGTCTGAGTTGGCAGTGAGTACCTTACCTATGTTTTGTATAGTCATCAAGCTTTATCATTATGATCACTCTCTTTTTTTACCTTCACATAATCACTTGCAGATCGAATTCATCGACCATTGTCTACGCTCAAACTCCATTTTCTTCACCTCATGCCGTTCATCCAGCATTTCTGCAAAATTCTGGACTTACGCGCACACATATTGAGGTAAGAAAAGTTGTTCTTTATCATGTGGAACGTTTGGGTTTCTTCCATAGTGCAAACACCTTTTTAGGTGGCACGTCAGTATCGCGAATATATGGAAAGAGAGCTAGCTGACACAGATCTCCTTATGTCGCAAGCTTCTCGTAGTGCAGCCTTGTCGACCTCTCATAGTCCACCTTATCTGGTATTCACACACCTTGGATCGGACTGTCTGATAATGGTTTTTAGTGATGGAACAGTGCAGGTAGTCGTTTGACTGGTTTTCTTAGCTCTCCACGTTGCTAAAATCATCCTCGCAGGTGAATCTGATGAAGAAACGCTCTAAGATTGTTCTTTGGAATGGCGATGGTGGAACAACTGATCACGTTGATTCCAAGTTTACTTGCATCGCGATAATCGAGCGTGGTTTTGCACCGTTTGCCTACCGCATCCGGCCTGGGCATATGTATGGCCTTGAGCTGCCACAGAGGTAACTTTTAAGTCCGTTCGCTCTTTAATTCTAGGATCTTATCGCGACCTCCGATTACGGCGGAATTAATCAACCTCGCTTTTCAGCCTCGAAGACTCCCTCTTCGTAGTACGTCGGGCACTGAATATGGAATGCGACTTCCTGCACGTCTCACGCAGACCTATTCAATCTACGGAATGCTGAGCGACCTAGATATCTAGATAGAAGTACTCTAACTCCTCAGTTTAGGCCTATTCTGGCCCTCGAATGGGTTCTTGTTAGCCTTTCTTTGATGCTCATTCCGTCACTGTGTTCGTCTGATTTTGTGTGTCCGATCGAGTACATGTGCTCGGGTTCTTACCTTTCGCTCTTTGCCATTGATGTCTTTTCGCACTGATCCGGGTCGCCGCGCCTATTTGATGTTTTGCTGGAAGAGCTGAGTGCAAATATGTGTCTCTCATAGTTGGACATCTTTTCCCTATATTAGGAGAAGTCTGTTTGCTGTGCATCGAAAAGTTCCTACTGGCGCCGTAGTCCAGAGGCGAGGTTTTTGATATCGAAGCGATATCCTCAACCTGTAATTATCTATCTGTGGATATTTGTTTATAGGTAGTTTATTCTTTTGTTTTAATAATCTGTGGAACTGTGCGCCGAATGATCATCCGCCCAAGCTACAAATGAACTGATGAGTGTATCCCATACAGTCTTTGTCCGCACACTGCCATGAATGTACCGATAGTTTCAATTTATTCGGAGTTTATAGTTATAGCTGTTGTGTTTAAGTTGTGATTTGAGTCCTCATCTAGTGTAGATAGTTGAAGAATCAAATTTAATGAATCTTTATCATTCACCTTGTTCTCCTATCCTTATGCCTCCGCCGTTATGCATTCGAATCACTTGTTTGCTGCCAGCATCGTCCTTACATGGATACCATCCATCTCAGTCGATATCTCTCCCTCTCGTTACTTTGTTTTCCTTATCGACCATCTCTTCCACAAACCCCTGACCGCGCCTATATCGGGTATCCATTTGCAAATCTGTATAGTTGTTTTGTTATCTGCATAAATATCACTAATGATTGCATCCTTTTTCATTTATAGTCATTGCCAAAGTAATACATGGGGTATAGGCTGTCCCAATCTGGGTGTCACAACTTCAGCATCGGAATCCCGCGGCGCCTCTCTGAGGTCTAGCGCCCGGCGTATGTGGACGTTTCCTCCATTTTTTCCACAGCCCTTATTCGCTGCATCGGGTAACACTAGTTTCTCGAATAATCGAATATCTAACATTCGAAGAAAATTTCGAGTATCCGACCATTAAGTGATATCTGAACAGAAAATCGACTTCGATCAAATGATAGTCGAAATTGGAAATTTTCGAATATTATTCGGTTTCCAAATATTATTCAATTTTCGATTATCATTCGATTTTCGAATACTATCCCAACAAATAATCTCAATGAGATGACTGCTTATGGGAGACTAAAACATCTAATAATATGTTACTTCATGTAAAGGCTACTGCATAAAGGCGCAGAAGCAATATTAGCTGATTGGGCGCGGACGCGACGCTCGCATGTCCTCACGTTGTAAATCCTGCGCCCCATGCGCTCTGTGGCTAATAAAGCCGCGTTCGCGCCTGACGATATTGCGCCTTCGTCATGCAGCAGCCTATAAGTATAGTAGAAACTTTGGTACTATTCCAGTATGCCGACCCCAAAACTTAAAAATCTCGGATTTCGCTCAAACTCGGTATAGGGGGGTTATTCGATACGCTGATGCCGAATATCATATCGATTTCGTGTGGTAGCGCCATTTTCTGGGGGTTACGGTGGGCATACGGCAGGGGGTCAAAATCACAAAATTCTCTGAAACTTGGTGCAGGGGGGTTACTCGACACGCTGATGCCGAATACCATATCGATTTCGTGCGGTAGCGCCATTTTCTACAGGGAAGAGTCCCTGTTTCACTTCTGGAAGCAGGTAGCCGAATTGTACCCGGTTCCCTGCTGAAAACATATGCTGTCCCAAAGGCCCTCATTAGGGCCACCTTTACAAAAATTCAGGGAAGATATTCAGGGTTTTCAGAATGAGTTGTATGGAGTGCTCATATAAACTTAGAGGGGGAAAAGCAATCTTAATTGAAAAATTAGAAAAAATCGTGACAGTGAATTTAATCGGCACAGAAGTTTTGACCCCCTACCGTATACCCACCGTAACTCCGGAATGAGGAGCTACCGTAACGAATGAGTATTGTATTCGTGTTCAGCATGTCAAGTAACCCCGCTGCACCGAATTCCGCTGAATTTTGTGATTTTGACCCCCTACCGTATACCCACCGTAACCCCCAGAAAATGGCGCTACCGCACGAAATCGATATGGTATTCGGCATCAGCGTGTCGAGTAACCCCCCTCGCACCAAGTTTCAGAGAATTTTGTTGATTTTAACCCCCTACCGTATGCCCACCGTAACCCCCAGAAAATGGCGCTACCACACGAAATCGATATGATATTCGGCATCAGCGTATCGAATAACCCCCCTATACCGAGTTTGAGCGAAATCCGAGATTTTTCAATTTTTGGGGGTCCGGTATACTGGAATAGCGCCGAAACTTTTTATGCTACAATCTATGATTATAGAAACGGCTTAGTGGTGACACCAAAAGACTCGAAAATCTAGAAAAATCTAAACTTTTTGCCATGACGGTTGTCAAGAAATTTCTGAAACTTAGAAAAAGATTATGTTTTAAATCGTGGCGTTGGTAATAAGAACGGGCAACTACTACGACATGCAAGGCCGGCTCATCTTGCATACTGTTCAGGTTACCGCATGGGACCTTCCTAACATATATACCGTTTATTAAGAGTTAGAGAGTTGCTCTATATGCTGAAAGTTTTTACCGTAATGCCACATGGCGGCGGTGCAGGAGGAACCAGAGCCCTTGACCCCTGTATCCAAGAAGGAAAGGGGAGGAGCTGGCTGCGTGCCATAAAGGATCTGGCAACCTTCCAAACTCCGCCCACTGCTCTGAGTCTGGATCTTGCCTTTTTTGCTCAGGAATTCCTTGAAGGAAAAGGCTAGTTCAAAAGATCTGGGGTGGAGATACAAGGAAGGAAAAAACGAATTTGTGATCAGTTTTGAAAGACGAATCTTTAAGATGGACTTTTGTATGAATTCATATCAATGTAATTCAGCATTCTTATAAAGATTGGAAATTGATGAACAATTTTTATTTGAGCCCCGGCTCGATTTCAAATTTTTCATGAACTCCTCTTTGGCGAACATTCTAATTTTTACTCCAATACCTGAATGGCTTCGCGAAAAACTTACTAACATTGATTTTATCCTGAGATAATTTTCTCAATATTTAACGATAGTCACTGTGTTAGTTGCATTTGCGCTAATCGATAGCCGATTAGTTGACCTTTGCAGGATCAAGCCAGTCGTTTGATGAGCCAAGAGAGTCATGACTCAAGTGAAAACTTTTTTTTATTAACTCCATCAAATGTTTTACTTGGAGGTGGGAGGGAAAGATTGGGAAAAATTTGCTAGAAAAACGTTGAAAAGTCGTGTTTCGCAAAGAAACTTGCGAAAGTAGATAGATGCCAAACTATTAACCAAAAATGTTCGAGTTGCAAAATCAGACCTGGCCAAAAAGCTGCAAAAAGCAAGCAAAGTCACCAACACTTGTCTGTTATAACAGTTACAATAGTTTTCATTGGTTTTCCCCTATTTATAATACATATTGTCCCAATTCTTCAATTTTATGGCTCGACAACTGCCAGCGGGGTGAAGGTTGTCCAGGTTTGGTTCGCACTTCAAATCTGAGCTGTGAAGCTTTGCTGAGCCTCCTCTCAGGCATAACGATGTTTGCGTTTGCATTTTACGTCCTTTTTGGATCTGAGTATCCAAGATGTAGTTGTTGTTTTTGTTAGAGTTATTTCTAAAATCACTTTAAAACTCATTTTCGGCTTATGTTCTCCTGCTTTAAATCAATTTTTTGGTAATCCACCTTGTAAGCTGTATCATTATCACATCGGTTTTGAGCAAAATTAACCAACAGTTATATGGTAAAGGTGTTCCATATGAATCTTACAAAGATGACCGTTACTCTATACATTTATTAGGTTTATGACATGATACTACTTCTATTATCATCCCGGTACCTTAAAACCTGTTTTAGAATCTTTACTGTCCATTTTCCATGTTCCAATTCATAGTTCAACCTCTTAACTCATCGAATTTGACCAATATCTGGTAGTCCATCCACCATTCTTGCTCAACACACAATGGAAGCATCCCGTGGGCGGAGCGATGGGCGGAGCCTCCTCTGCCTTCCCCGTTCCCTCTTGGATACAGGGGTCAAGGGCTTTGGTTCCTCCTGCACCACCTCCATGCCACATCAGTAGAAAGCCTGAATAATCCGCCTTTGCTGTAAATGTAAGTTGAAGCCAGCCCTACAGAATGTTACCTATCGGCTGGCAAAAGACATCGCAGAGGAGGTATTGGCGATCAAACAGTGTAGATATTTTGGAACACCTCATGCTATGGATATCGAATTTTCGAGTATTCGATGCCCTTCGAGTTTTCGAATAGTCACTGCTCATTGAATTTTCAAATATTCGGTCCTTATCGAATACGAATACTCGATGAACATCGTAACCGAATTGATGACCATCGAATATTATATCGAATAATATTCGAAAGTCGGAATTTCATATTCGACTTTCGCATAACACTCGAAAATGAAAAATTTCGAAAATCTGACTACCGAATATTATAATCGAATTTCCGTATCATTCGCATTCGAATGATCCATTCAAATAATGAATAGTCATTCGATTCGGTCCAAAATATAGTAACTACAGCCCACTACTTCTCTGTCACACTTTTGGTGCATTCAAAAGTATGATCGTCTCCACGATTCGTGTAGAGGTTTATTGCAGACTTTGCCTGATAACACAGGTAAACTTGTTAAATCTCCACGTCATAGCATTGTTTTTTGTACTCTCTCGCTATCAAAAACCGCCACGCTTTGAGTTGGCAAAACCCCGCCTCTACACGAATCGTGGAGCCGATGATATTGCCGTAACTGAGGTTGATTTACTTAACTCTTGAAAAATAGTTAGCCTTAAATCTCAAACTTCATCACACATTAAAAAATAAGCTCGTACGCACATATGCCCTGATCTCACGACCGTAGCGGGCAAGCCGTTGCTCCTCGGAAGCGGCGCGGTTTTGGTAGCGAGAGATCACTCTTATCAATGTGGATGGATGGAGAAAAATCAGCTGTTTATCGACTTTGACCAGCCCGCATCCTAGTCCGCAAGCGAGGGCCGCTACGGTTGTGTGAAAGGACGAATCATTTTCTATGACTAGGAGACGCGGGACCGCATTGCGGACGTTTTAACCCATTGACGACAACGCCTAATTTTGCGTGGCGGCGCTGTGGATGACGCGATTTTGCACAACACTTTCAGTGTGGGAAGGCTTTGTGATTATTTACGAAATGCAATGTTGTTCTGTAACGAGATCAATGACAAGTATAAACCTGCCAATTACACGACTAGGCTTGTTTAGACAATGAGTGCAATGCGGTCTTGCGTCTCCTAGCCATAGAATGAATGATATATCCCCGATGAAGAGGGGAGGATCTGAGAGATGATGCGTCATATCTCGATACTTTAGATACTACTATAGATACTATATACTTCCTTCTCTATTTCGTTTATGAAGGTTTTCGTATCCTTATACCTGCGCATCAGTGGCGTACCGAGGAGGGGGGGGGGCGCCCCCCCCCCCCCGAGAATGGGTCGCGAAATTTTTGAAAGTTACTTATATGGGTTATAAAAATGTGCAAGTGACTTGTTTATTTTTGTAAATAATTAAAATAATTTTCAAAAATTTTTAAAAAATCAAATTAGCCTTGTAAAAAAAATTTTTTCGGGGGCGACCCGCAAAAGTTTTGAGAAGCACCTCAAAAAATTTTTCGGAGTGCGTGGCTAACGCCACGCACCTTCTTTAGAAAATTTTTGTCGCGCCCCCCCCCCCCCCCCCGAGCCGAAATCCTGGGAACGCCAC